GTCGAATTCCGTCCCCACTAACCCAATTCCGACCCGCAAAGGCCGATTTTATCGCTAATCCCCTCGTCGAAGGTGGTGTAAAGAAACCGGTTTAAAGGGCCCTTTAAGTCGAAAGAAAGGGCTTCGTCGTGTGAACGTGTCCAGGCTTAAATCAATTTAATGCTGCTAAAGTCGACCTAAACTCGTAGTGTAGACCAGGCCTGAGTGAAAAAAAGCATGTTGTGAACAAAAAACAAAACAAAACTGATGGTGTTGGTTTATGCCTGTTTAATTTTCTTTGTAGTATACTAATGTTTTGGAACATATGTAGGTGCTTTTAAGCAGTCCATGAAGACTTACTTTGTACTGTTGCTATGATTACTCTGCTTAATATGTCAAAATGCTGAGACTGAAAATGTTGAGTGAATGTGAAAAATATTCTGATGGATATGTGTGGCGTTTGTAGTAGTCTTTTGTTTTCCTAGAGCTCTAATGCGTTTACCTATCAAACCTTAGTGGCCGATTTTTCTGGTAAGGTTCTGAAGTTATCTGGTTTTCCAGTAGCCTTAACAAAGGCACAAGGTCACATGACTGTTAGAAGGTCACGGACTGTTACAAGGCATACCTCAGCCCAAAACGAACCCCACAGTTTGTCATAGTTATCAGCTTCTTGTGGGGATTCCAACATCCCAGCATACAGTTCAGTGCAGAAAGTTACTTGTTGCCTTTTGATTCAGTTCATTCATGGAGAAAAGAAAGCGGTTTACATTATATTGCAGAAACTATAAAGAGTAAATGGTTTGTTAGACCTGCCTTCAGAGTAAAATTGTACATTTAAGTTACCCAGTTCAGTTTGTGCAAAATTAGGTCCAGTCAGTTATGACTAACCAAAGCAGTTCTGTGTAATTTATACCTTTTCCCTTCCCATCTTGTCTAGTAAAACACAAAAGTGCGTTAGCACTAGCACTGGGTTCTACAACAAAGAAGATGAATCTGCCACTTCTACAGACAGTAGTGCTAAGAAGGCTTCAGAGAATCAGGAGAAGGCAACACCAGGAAATGCAAAGAAGAATTTGTTGAACATTATTAGTGAAATGAAAGTAGAATTAAGTTCAAAGAAGAAGTTCCAATTACTAAAAAAAATGAAGACCACGAAGCAAACCAAGGACCAGCCAGAAAGTTTGGAGAGTGCAAGTAGCATGTTTCTGAAAGCTACAGCAGACAGTAAAGCTAAGAGGTAAAATGCAATATGCACAGTTCAAGTGTTTCTTCTTTGAAGTGGATTCTATTAATCTCTAGGACAAAATAGTATCATAAAATGTCTTTTTCTTTTGTATAGAAAATAATCCTCTATGGGAACAGTCCTTTTGCTAATGATACAACTGTACCCTGCAAAAAGCAATAACAAATGGAATGGTTGCATTAAGCATGTATATTTACTACATGCTTATATTCCTGGAATTGAAGCCTCAAAATGAAATGTTACTTGCTGTCCACAGACAATCAATTTAAGGAGAGCGAGAGAATTTGCACTTTGAAATGCCATTACTCAGTTATGAGAAAAAAAAATCTGGGAAAAGGAAAAAGTTATTTCCTTTTAATTGCCTTTCTCTGTACACAATTGATCATATACAGCTAACTTATTAAAATGTAAATATGCAGCTAAACTCCGTTGTTTAGTTACAGTCTCAGAAAATCTTTCCTCTGAATAAGGGCATACTTACAGAAATGTATACTCTTGGGGGAATTCTGCACCCTGCGGGGGACACAGAATTCATACTTTCCACAGATTTCTTGGCTTCCCCGTAGAAAAATGGGGGAGCAAAGAGATCTGTGAGGAACACATGCCCCTTCTGCAGCAGCCCGGGCATGTCTGCTGGGAGCAGCTGGCAGCAGATCACCGTGGGAGGGGAGGAGGGAGTCTGGGCGTGCTTGTGTGCATCCGTGGAGAGACATTAAGGGGGTAGGGCTGGGCTCCTGCCTTAATGTGACTGAGTGATTGAGACTCAGGGCATGTCTTCATTGGCAACTTTAAAGCGCTGCCACGGTAGTGCTTTAATGTGGCTTGTGTAGTCATGGCATAGCGCTGGGAGAGAGCTCTCTTTAAAAAAACACCCCCACGAGCACAGCTCCCAGTGCTGGTGCACTGTCTACACTGGCACTTTGCAGAGCTGAACCTTGCAGCATTCAGGGGTGTGTTTTTGTTTTTTTTCCCCACACCTCTGAGTGAGAAAGTTGCAGCGCTGTAAAGTGCCAGTGGACACAAGGCTTCACTCTGTCCCTCTGGTCGCTGTTGCTGCATCCTGGGCTTGGAAGGAGGCATAGGGCTGTGTGAAGCAGGCTCTGTCCCTGAGGCAGAGCAGAAATTTAACAACTAAACTGGCAGGCTGCTAATGTTCCCACTGTTAATTAATTGTTCCCATTAGTCAATTAAGGCTCCTTTACCTTGCCAGAGTGATGTAAAGGAACCTTATTGCAAATGACAGTAATGGAATCCTCAGCTAGGAAGGTCTATGTGCTTTCTAACTCTTTTTCCTGTGCCAGAGAGGCACAATGGGGTTAGATTACCACTCGGGATCTGTTTTACTTACCCATTTAAAAAAAATGCCAGACAATGATTAGCAAAACTCAGACTTTCATATGTGAAAGTCTGAGCAATTTAAAGCCACAGTCTACTTTACAGACCACCAAAATAAAAGTAATGTAATTTAAATGAAAATCCAGGATTATAACTGGAATGCAGGGTCTTGGTTACCAGGTATTTGTAACTCAACTTTCATGTGTTTAGAAAATGCTGAACTGTTGCTGTGATTTTATTTATTTATTTATTTATTGGTATGGTAGTTTAAATTACCAAAATAAGTGAAACTGGTGTGATTATATTGCGTTATTTTGACAAATAAAATACACAGAATTTTGGATTTTTTGGCACAGAATTCCCCCAGGAGTAAATATATGGTCACTATCTATTGGGATAATGCTTAACAAAGGGAAATCTTTACACCTAAACCTAGTGGTTAAAATCATGCCAAATTGTTAAAGGAACAGTAGTCAGTTAAATCATACCCATGTACGATCCCATGAGACAGATGTGGAAAAAAAGGGTTTTTGTCAGTGACAAATTCATATCTCAGTAGCAATCTTTTATACTCTTATTTTCAGGAGGAACAGTTGATTGGTAGCTGTGCCTTAATGATTGCACCCAACCTCTGGCAGTTTTGTGCAGCAAGAGACAAACTTGGGCCTCTTCCTTGATAGCATATAACTATTACCTTTAAGTCATTAAGACATAAAATAACCAGTTACAATAAAAAATGGTTTGTGAAATAATGACGCATAAGACCTTGATTTTTGTTTTTCACCTCTGTTATCTCTTACAGGAGCAAGCCTCTCAATCCAGAATTGGTGGAAGCTGCCTCTGCTGTTGCATCTTCCTTACCTTTTGACAGAAAACAGACAGTATCAGATTTACTTGCACAACTAAGGAAGCATGAAGAAGCCACTGATGCACAGAAAAGAGGGGAAACAACTAACATAAGGTCTGTAGATTGAATATTCCCTAATAGTGCTGAAGCCTCTAATATTACACTGTCAAATGTAAGGTGATTGAAGACTTGATAGCAGAAAAACTGCTCTAAAAAGATATGCTTGACTATGTTATCCTTCTTTAAAAAGCTAATAACTGAAGTGCAGCTAGTCTGTTTGTACTAAATTCCTTCTGTAACTTTCGAGCTATCCAGCTTGCATCCTTCCTCTAGAGCAGCCTTTCAAAATTCTCGTGCCTATTTTCCCTGGGTCGGTCAGTCAAAGTATCAGTAGATTTATTTTTTGTCATCTTCATCAACCATCACCGAGAGAGATGAACTTTCAGACTTTCTATGTGGACTGGTAAATCTTAATGGCTGTGTTTGAAAGCTGCACTAAGTAAAGCAGCCTCTATTTATAGTCCCACCCTACCCTTAAAAAATTTCCAGGCAGCCCAATAAACTCATCCCTTGACACAGTTCCTTTTTTTTTTTTAAATGTGGCTTCCGGCCAGGCAAACAACACTTATTTGGAAACTGTGAAGGAATTGTGTCTACTGCCCTTCTGTTTGGTGATGACTAAAGACAGGCTGCTGACTTCTGCTACTTCCAATGTAGCAGCTCAGAAAATGCTGAATATAAAGCAGAAAACTGGATCTTCAGCAACTGAGAATGTAGAAGCCTGTAATTATGCAGGTTGGCAGTAACAAACTACAAGTAGCTTATAGATTTATTTGTAATATGTCACATGAAAATAGCTAGATTTGGAGCAATTTCAGATAACGAATTAACTGGTAAAGTGATAGGAAATGTGGATTCATAAGACTGATAACTTATTTGTGGGGTTTTATAAGGATTAGTTATAGGGCCTTTTGTGTTCAGGAAATATACCAATGAGTAGCGGAGAAAGTAACCAACACCGTTAATATTTGCTGCTGATACATGCCATTTCCATCGGTGAAAACTAAGGATTGTGACACAGTCTAGGTCAGGCGTAGGCAACCTATGGCACGTGCTGAAGGCAGCACACGAGCTGATTGTCACTGGCACTCACACTGCCCGGGTCCTGGCCACCGGTCCGGGGGCTCTGCATTTTAATTTAATTTTAAATTAAGCTTCTTAAACATTTTAAAAACCTTATTTACTTTACATACAACAATAGTTTAGTTATATATTATAGACTTATAGAAAGAGACTTTCTAAAAACATTAATGTATTACTGGCACGCGAAATCTCAAATCAGAGTGAATAAATGGAGACTCGGCACACCACTTCTGAAAGGTTGCCGACCCCTGGTCTAGATGGTTACAAATAAATGAAATGGTGGGGAAGCACAATGGTAGATGAATGTTAACTTTGTTAAATATAAGGTAATGCATATTCTTGAGAGAGTGTCTGTGGTAAAGAGAGAAACTATGTAACCTTCCCATACAGGTGGATGAATTCGTAATTCTCAGTCAAGAGAGATAGGGGTTATTGTGGACAGGTAAATGAAGTTCTCTCTCCAGAAGCTTAGAAGCTGGGTGCTTTTAAAAAAAGTGGTAATGCACAATGGTATACATATCCCTGGAGTAATATGTTCAGTTTAAGTCTTCTCCTCTCAACAGAAATGTAAAACATTCAGAGAGATAGAAATGGTTAGAGATGCTGTGAGTATTGCATACTTTTGGATTATTTAGGTCTGTGGTTTTCAACCTTCTTTCATTTGCAGACCCCTAAAAAACTTCAAATGCAGGTGTGAACCAGTGTTCTCTCTCATTTTTCCCATGCATGTACAGAATGAATTTTGTTATGTGCATCACATCACTTCCATATTGATGCACATAAGAAAATTCATGGGGTGGCGATGGGGCTGAGGGGTTTGGAGTGTGTGAGTGGGGCTCAGGGCTGGGGCAGAGGATTTGGGTGCGGGGCAGGGGGTTTGAGGGCTCTGGGGTGGGGCTGGGGCAGAGGGTTTGGGGGTGAGGGGCTTGAGGGCTCCGGCTGGGGGTGTGGGCTCTCGGGTGAGGCCAGGGATAAGGGGTTTTGGGCGATAGGACCCCCTGCAGCAGCACCTGGGCTGGGGTGGGGAGAGGCGCCTCTCCCCCAGCTGTGGCAGGTCCATGCCAGGGCTGCGTGAGGGTTGCCTTTCCCCCAACCACAGCAAGTTGGGGCAGGTCCGTGCTGGGGCTGGCGGAGACAGGCGCCTCTCCCCGCAGCGGCAGGTCCGTGCTGGGGGAGGGGCATCTCTCCCCGCCCCAGCCCTGAGCCTCTGCGTGGGGCTTAATAGGCAGCTGCGCAGCTTAGAGCGAACTTAGGTGTGGACCCCTTTGGGAAATCTTCGTCGTAGTCTGTGGACTCCCAGGGTCCATGGACCATAGCTTGAAAACCATTGATTTAAGTGAAGGAGTTAGAGGAGACTTAACTGAGCTGTGTAAAAACTGATCATTTTCTCCATTTAGTTCTTATATAGCCTTAAGGAAAGGCTAAAGGAAATACTCTAAGTTAAGATGAACAAACAGGGCAATATTTCTTCCTATTTTGTATAGTGAACACGTGGAATTCACTGCTGCTGGAGGTTGGGGCAAGGTTTGTGGCTGGATTTGAACGGATTATTAATTGCTTGCAACTAGGGTTTGATTAAATTTACCAGACACCTACTAGCCAGGGCCGGCACCAGGCACCCAAGCACATGCTTGGGGCGGCGCCTGGTAAGGGATGGCGGGGGGAGCGCGGCGTGGCATT